TGCCGGCAAATCCCTATCTGCTCGAGGAGATCCCCAAGTGGCTGGCCGTCTACTCGGAGGCGGACTCCTCCAAGGATCACCTGCTGCAGTTCAACATGTTCAGCCTGCCGGAGCTGGAGGGCTTCGACAGCATGCTGGTGCGGCTCTTCAAGCAGGAGCTTGGCACCATCGTGGGCTTCTACGAGCGCTACCGGTAAGTGTGCGGCCATTTTGCTGCATTCTCCGCTCCGAAAAGCCACTACTCTCTTGTTACACATTTCAGTCGCGCTTTGATACTCGAGAAGAATCGACGTGCCGGCCAGAACCAGAACCAAAACCAGTGACCAGGTGACGACTGATTCAGACCACATACTCGCCAGCAGCTATAGACATCATAGTGTCCTGTACTCGACCTTTAACTTATTTAACCATCGACTCATCGCGATATCAGTGCCTTAGACAAGACCAGACGAGAGGGAGCCAAGCAAATCCATGACACGATTCGAGTGCCTTGATGAAGCGTAGAAATGTGCTACCTTCAATACACCCTTTATGTGATTTCATCTTGGCGTTTGTTTGTAAAATGTGCAAATTAAACTGGTTTACTGATCATCTCACCTGCCCAGCGCAATCGTAATTGAAGTGCAACGTGAACCCCACAGGTATTTCACTTGGTGTCCAATTCGTCGCCGGATGTTTTGGAAATTCACTCTCCGAGGTGCAAGTAAAGAGCAGCAGTTGGTGGCCAAGTCTTACTTCACTTGGCTTGGCACTTATTTCCGAGTTCCATGCCAGGTTTTCGATTCGCTTGCAAAATTATGCATTGGGCACAAGTGGATTGTGGCCCATTCTGCATCGGCAAAAAGAAAAAGAGCTTCAATAGAAAGTGAATCTTGTGTTTGTTTTCGTCCATGGGACGCTCGTCCACCATTTAGTCGAACTTGATAATTCAGAGCCGTCGCCCCTTATCGAATGCTAATAAAACTTTACTACTTCTGTTTTTGCAGGTCCCTCAAAAACAGTTCCTACTGCTGATAAGAACTTCTTAAATCTTGTTCGGAATACTCTATTAGGCTGCGAATTCGGCATTGAAGAGGACAGTTGTGCGATTGCGTTTCAAAAACTTGTAAAATTGAGAAATGCTGTTTCCATTTGGTTTTTAGTCAGAGGACGTATATTGTAAACAGGAAATATGAATCGATTTATTCATTGACTAATATTATATGTTTGGTAAGACTTTGTATCTCTGTGAAATGAAAGCTCGCTTATCGCACATACACATTTTAATTCATCCCACACCCCACAGATACAGTTTAGCTAATTTTTTGAAATTCAAATTTGATAACAATGCGTTTTCTTTTGACAACCAGTCGGGTCAAAATACTCGGCTATTTCCGACTGAAGTGCCCACCTTTGCGGCCGATGGGTTCTCAAGTGCAAAAATAAAGTATAATGAGACCCAAGAAACGGCGGCGGCGGACCGCTCTCGCTCCACTTGTTGTTGCTTCCGCTGGGGCGTCGCTGCCGCTGCCGCTGCCGAAGTCGACGTCGACTCCACCGCTCCAATATTTAAACGGATCCATTGGATCGCGCACTCAGTCGCTGGAGAGTCGCCATCGCCATCATAGCATCGCCATCCACTGGTAGCCATTGGCAGTCGCCTAATCGTCAGTTAGACACATTGTTTAACTTCATTTTAACGTGAGTGATGTGTTGATGTGCAGGGAGGCGATCATGCATGTAGCTCGGCACACAGACGTTCTAATCCGCGTATCTTTATCTTTATCAAAATCGGGCTGTTTGCACAGATGTCTTGCGCTAGCCGCCGAAACCTCTGATTTCCCAGACGCCAGTGAAAGTTCTAATCCGGCTTAAACAGATGCACAACAATCGTATCTCGTGCGTGGAATCATGAATGAATGGGTGTTATTTGAACAATGGGGCTTACCAATCGCTTTATCACAAGAATCGAACTGAAAGTGTTTCTAAAAATAACTCCGCATCTTATGGTATAGTGGTGAAACATACTCGTATAGTAAATTGTAATTCGCTTGACTCTTGAAATAGCACTATGATATTTGATCTTTAAAGTCCCCATGTAATTAGATCGGTTGTGACTCATTTATATAGAACCAAGTTCACCGGCGGATCGTGACTTGCGATTGCCATGCTTGCAGTGCATTGCCCAATCTATTGATTATCTGCAACTTGTGGCAGACTGCCGCAATAATTCGAATGGAGCCGATTGACACTATCAGCTCCATTGATTGAGATAAGCCCGCTTCTCACGCGGTGCTTTACACTTCTTCGCAATCGCCAAGTCACGGCCCTTCCCATTAAGGCCCCCAAGCCTTATGAATGGTATAAAAAGTCGGGAATCTTTTGGTTTTACGATCGGCCGACCAAGCCGTGTATTTCCTGCTGCGTCCAATAGCCCATATAAAGTGGCTGCTCCATCGTGTGCCGTGCGAAAATGTGCTCCAATTGCAAAGTTGTAACATTGACGCGACATTTGTTGAAGGTTGCCGACTTTTATCTCGACAAAAACACACAAATTCCAGATGGAGCGAGCGTGCGTAGATTGCACTGAATGCTTTTTAGAACAAATTGTTTAACGGAAAGTGTGCCTTATACCTTATATGATTTTAACATATTACATTCCCCTCTTATTGAGCGTCTGCAAGTGGGGCATTCATCGAAGTGTACAAGAAGGTGGCGGCAGGAGCTGCATTCCAGACTCCTAGCTATCAATTTCGCCCGGTTGTGGTCAATTGGTCAATTGAAATAATTCACAATTAAATCAATACCATGTAGGGCTTCATTGAAGAAGATGCCAGCAGGACTGGAAACTCGTGCATGAATAAGAAGACGTTAAACGAAACGAGAATGGATCTCAGCGCACACCGCCTGACTTTGCTGCTGCTCCTGGCCACAGGTGAGATTCCGACTGCCCAACGTCGCGATCCAGAAATGCGGTTTGATAGTAAGGGAGTTTCTCCTGTCCACAGTTGCCCTGGGAAATGCCCAAACCAGTCTGCTCACCGTCGATTCCCATGACATCACCGTTCTGCTGAACGCCAACGAGACTTTTGTGGTGTTCGCCAAGTGAGTTGCAATCCCAGGAAAATCCGAGCGATATGGCGTCATAAACGATGTGCTTATTACAGCGGATTGCTAGCCACCGATGTGCAGGTTACGCTGGTGACGGATTCTAAGGATCACCTGCTCCTCGATCCCGCGTCCTTCGTGTATCCAGAGAGCAGTACTCGGAATCAGTCCGTGGTGATAACTGGTCTCAGAGCAGGCAATGTCAAAGTGGTCGCCGATAGCGATGATGCGAACAAAGAGATGTGAGTAACTGCTCGGGATTCGTCCAGCTGTTCGGAAACTGTATAGAAAAATGCATTTGTTCCAGTGTGAAGGATGTGTTTGTTCGCGTGACTGTGGCCAAATCGAAGGCTTTGATATACACCTCCATCATTTTCGGCTGGGTTTACTTTGTGGCCTGGTCGGTGTCCTTCTATCCGCAGATCTGGAGCAACTACCGCCGCAAGTCCGTCGAGGGCCTGAACTTTGACTTCCTGGCCCTCAACATAGTGGGCTTCACCCTGTACAGCATGTTCAACTGCGGTCTCTACTTCATCGAGGATCTGCAGAGCGAGTACGAGAAGCGATATCCGCTGGGAGTGAATCCTGTGATGCTCAACGATGTGGTGTTCTCCTTGCACGCCATGTTTGCCACCTGCATTACGATCCTGCAGTGCTTTTTCTATCAGGTAATCATATGGGCACTTTTCCCAACATTCAATGGCCTTATCACCACAGTGACAACGGCTGTTGAATTGAACACTAATTGCCATCAATCAAAATACCAATTAATTTGAATCACAGTGGTTATTTTTGATATGACTGTGAAGATAAGATATATCATATATTAACATTTATGATTTGGTATTTGGTATTTCTTTAACTTATGCAGAGGGCACAGCAAAGGGTGTCCTTCATTGCCTACGGAATCCTGGCCATCTTCGCCGTGGTCGTCGTTGTGTCCGCCGGTTTGGCCGGAGGATCCGTCATCCACTGGCTGGACTTTCTGTACTACTGCAGCTACGTGAAGCTGACCATCACCATCATCAAGTACGTGCCGCAGGCTCTGATGAACTATCGCCGAAAGAGCACCTCCGGCTGGAGCATCGGGAACATCCTGCTGGACTTCACCGGAGGAACTCTGAGCATGCTGCAGATGATCCTGAATGCCCACAATTACGGTAGGATATGGCCCTGTCATCATTTCTGAGCTTCGAATGAAGTTGATTCTGCTTTCCAGATGACTGGGTGTCCCTTTTCGGGGATCCCACCAAATTCGGACTGGGTCTGTTTTCAGTGCTCTTCGACATTTTCTTCATGCTGCAGCACTACGTGTTCTACAGGTATTGCAGCTTTTTGTTAACGTATAACTTAATATAAGACTCATCCCCACTGTACACTTATCATTACTGTGCTGTTTGTCCCCTTCTCCCCAGGCATTCGAGGGAATCCTCGAGCTCTGACCTCACCACTGTGACGGAGGTTCAAAATCGATCAAATGAGTCGCCGAGCGAAGTGACGACTGAGAAATATTAGAGCTGCATTATTATATATGTATGTCTGCTGTAGGGAAAGAATTTTGTGCCAGTAGCGCTTTTTGTACATTTTTAGAACTGTAAATATACCTGTACGCCATAGCTGCCTAAGCTTTGTATAATCGAGTCGTTTACTTTAAATAGTTTGGCTAAAAGTGGAATTTGAGCAGCAAATACAACATGAATTATAATTCATTTTAGGAGCCGCAAATCCTATGGTATCTTGGACGACCAATATGCTGTGAAACAAATTTGTTGTTTGTGTCATGTAATTTGCAAACTAATAAATAGATTAAAATATTGAAAACATTTCAAAATAGAAATTTAATGGGCATCACTGTACGATCGCAGCCCGGTTTTAATCGATAGCTCATCGATAGCGATTTACGTGCTGAGGGCCCATAAAGGCATCCAATTTGCGGTTAGTCGACAACCCTGGAGTTCGCTCATCGGACGGCCGTTTTGGCAAAAAAGCACGCAACTGCTAAATAAAGTTTATTTAATTCATTGTGCAGCCATGAGTCTTCAAAGGTCCTCGTCGTTCAGCTTGACTTTTAACCAGTAAGCGGAGATGCTATTTTCGGACTTACCCAACAAAAAATATTGCACGTATTTGCAGAAACACTGCGATTGTTTCGCGTACCAATAGTCGCACAATATACGAAGCTTACGGGGAGTTCTTGGATATCTGGGACATCGGCAACGAAATCTTTGGAGAGCCCCCAGTTCGATTCCCTAGCAGCGGAGGTTCCAACTTGCCGCAGAGTTTCGGGGCCAACGGAGATGCGCAGCTGGTGACGCTGGGGGATCAAACATCTGGCGGACACAACATGGTGCAGCTTTCCAACAATTTGGAAAATTCAGCCAACAATATTTATGATGCCAATAACAACATGGGATCATGCAGCAAATTGTTTTTCAGCCACAAGGGGTGAGCAAATTCGAAACACGCGCACTCCATTCGATAGGCATCGGTCGGTACGATAGTTGCGTGGCGAATGCCAAAATCCAAATCGTCAGTGGCCATACGATTCGGTAGTTTTTGCGAATTTTATAAATATTTAGCCTGCTTTCCCGACCGATCGCTTGATTGGATTTAGTTGATAGAAATGTATATATCACAGCCAATGTCGTGGCACAAAGTCAGGTACAGTGTGGCCAAATACTGAAGATCGAACAATACAAACCATGCATGTAGCAACACGCTTGTACTTGCATCATTCACGCGGCCAACTTGTTTGTGTTTGTTCAACCGGCCCAGGGCCCAGTTTGTTACTACATTTTATTTCAATTTACGCTGCAGCATCGATTCTGAGGATGACGTCCAGGTGGCCAACGAAGCCTCCTTGGGATCAACCGATTCCACAGTGGAGGATATTAAGGAGGACATTGAACAAACGGTGGCGGTATCGGGATCGGAACTGTGGGTACCTGGTCACAGATGGTTTCTCCGGTTGCTAACTCTGTTTTTATCCTTTCAGGACCACGGAACCCATGGCCTTTTTGCAAGGACTAAACGTGAGTTGCTCTTGTAATCTGCACAACTATTACTTGCTAACTTTTTAATATTATTCGCCACAGTCCGGGAATCTGATGCAGTTCAGCCAGGTGGGTAATTCGATTAGTTAGTGCATCTTGAAGCGCTGGTACAGATCGGCCTGCACAAGGATCAGCAGGAAACTGGCCACCGCCGAAAAGACATTGCTGATCAATCGCATGTCCAGCTCGTACAAGCCCAAGGGCTTAATCTTGTACTTGGTCACCGTGACCAGCAGGGTGAAGCTATGGACTGCCTGACGATAGCGACAGTCCGCATACTGCAGATTCATCTCCTGGAGAATAACAGCCGATCTTCGGGTGGCCACCAGTAGGTGGTTGCACAAGTGCGAGAGCAATGTGATCTCCGCCAGCGAGATGGACAGGAACACCACGTTGATCAGCGATCCAAGTCCGTCGTACGGCTTGCCCATAATTAAGGTGTCCGCTATGGCATAGTACAGACTGTAAAAGCCCACTGTTATCCCGAGCAGGTTGCAGATGAGCGACAGAATCAAGGACAAGGACATTGGAGTCAGATACTTTCCGCAATGCACATATATCAGCCTATAGCGATACGCCAGCTGGTCCAGTTCATCCGCCAAGGCGCAAAATCGCTGCATGCGATAGTATCTAGTGTACAACTTTAGCTGGTCCTTCCTCTGCAGTAGATTCACCTCCTGCAGCTGCGCATCCAGCCTGGTGTTCAGCGCGTTTAGCATCTCCTTCACCACCACCATTGCCCCAAAGTAGCAGTTATTCAGAAGATTCGATATAATCAATGGAAACAGCCGGTAAATGGTCCAGATCAAGTTCATATCGGGATGTTGCCGCCTCTGTTGCAGTATAAAAGCCACTTCAATTGTCAGGGGAAAAGCAACGGTCTTGACCAGGGCCAAAGCTATGGATTTGTACAGCGACCTACTGTCCAGACGTAGTGTTCTTAGGGTCTCAAAGAAGGGCACTCTGCTCATCATCTTGGCCACATGGTCACTGATTATCATCTGTGTCACATAGTTAATAACAGCCACAATGATGTTCATATAGCTGTACAGAGTGGTGGCGTCCTTCAGGTTGATCTGGCCCTGCTGGTAGTCCTTGTAGATCTGCCGTCCGTAAACCAAGCTGAATGCAACTGTCCATAGCGAAGCGAAGGCCAGGTATGCCTTTGAGGAGCGGAATCTCTCACGGCTGTCACGGCGATAGCGATTGGCCAAAAGTCCAAACACAGTCATAAAAACAATCAGTGTTGTCGTCAGAAATTTCACCATACGCCGATGCGCGTAGTCGCTAGTGAAGTCCATTTTTCTCGAACAGTTAGTACAAACTGTGTGTGCATTTTCCACAGCATAAATAACTGCTTAATTGTTTTCCAACTATACAATCTAGACTTCCAACTTTCCATCTAGAGGACCTGTCAAGTAGCCCGACACTATCTGGACACATCGCGAAACGCATGTATTTCGCCGACCGTCGAAAAACCAACTGAGCATGCGTTGTGTTGGCCACAACAATAGAGCACAGGAAGCGTGCGGGAAGCGACATTCCTTGCGTGACTCAGCAGCTGTCTGCATTTCATAAGAGCAACATGACGTCAAAGCCGCTTTGGGGTTCACTTTCAATTGGAGAACAGAACAAAACACTCTTATCTAGCCGATTAGCTGGACACTCCTAGTTGTCGACATCGTTCAGCGAGAATTTGTAACTCGAGCAAGCTGGAACATGAAGCTCTATCAGCTCTATGAGCGCAAAGTGTGAACCCTTAAATGAAGGGCTAAGTTGTCATTTAAGTAATATATTTGTTTTATTTCTTTTTGCTTACAGCAATCCGTGCTGCGCGAGATGATGCTGCAGGACATCCAGAGCCAGGCGGACACGCTGCCCAAGCTGGAGAATCACAACATCGGAGGCTATGGCTTCAGCATGGTTCTGGATCAGCCGCCCAAGTCTCACTGGATGTACTCGGTTCCGCTGAACAAGCTCTACATCCGGATGAACGAGACCTTCAACGTGGACGTACAGTTCAAGGCCAAGATGCCCATTCAGCCGCTCAATCTGCGCGTCTTCCTGTGCTTCTCCAAGGATGTCAGTGGTCCTGTGTTGCGCTGCCAAAATCACCTGAGTGTTGAGCCTTGTAAGTGGATATTATAACACAGAACGATGTGCAATATTTAACTATCATTTGTACAATCTTCCAGTGACTGCCCATAACGCAAAAATGCGCGATAGCTTGCTGCGCAGCGAGAATCCCAACAGTGTCTATTGCGGAACTGCCCAGGGCAAGGGTGTTTCCGAACGTTTTTCCGTGTTAATCCCTTTAAACATGAGTCGGTCAGGGAACCGCAGTGGGCACGTGCGCCAGACCCTGGCCTTCAAGTTCGTTTGCCAAAACTCGTGTATTGGGCGAAAAGAAACTTCCTTGGTCTTCTGCCTGGAGAAAGCATGGTAAGATTACAGCAGAGTGTTGCTACAAAACTCCAGAAGACTGTTTGCAACAAAGCTTAACGTGTTTGTCATCTTGCAGTGGCGATATCGTGGGACAGCAGGTTATGGATGTTAAAATATGTACGTGCCCCAAACGTGATCGCAACCAAGACGAACGCCAGCTCAATGGCAAGAAGCGCAAGTCCGTGGCGGACGACACCGATGAGGCTGAGCCGTACGTAAAGCCGTCGAAAGTGCGTCGGCGCAGTGCTATAAAGATGGAGGAGACGGATAGCAATGACAGCCGCGAATGCGACGACTCCATCGCTGAGTGGAACGTATCGCGGACACAGGATGGCGAGTACCGATTGGCCATTACATGCCTCAAAAAGGAATGGCTACTGCAGAGCATTGAGGGCATGATTAAGGAGGCGGCGGCTGAAGTGCTGCGCAATCCCAACCAAGAGAATCTGCGTCGCCATGCCAACAAATTGCTGAGTCTGAAGAGTAAGCGAACTAATCGGAAGACCAAGAGATTAGCCTATACTTACTCAACTTTCCTTTCCTTTCAGAAAGTGCCTACGAGCTGCCATAACTTTTGAGATGGTCAACAATTTTGTATAACCTTCACTGTTCACACTATAAACTAATGCGTACACTTAATGAGTTCAATTCGGGTGTTTGAATCCAACTGACTCGCTACTGCGAGGGCATCGCCTTGTGTGTTGAATCTGTGAGGTATAGCTATTAATTTCTTAACGTTGTATTAGTACTTAGTTGGTAAGTCGTTAAACGGTTATTTTACCATTTTGGCATGTTCGATGGCCAAAAAGAAAAGATTTCTATATTTTTGATAGCATTCTACTGTTAACTATAGATGTATGAAACTACGTAACTTTTGTCTACCACACGGAATGAAACCTCCATACTCTGTACAAATAAGCCAAAAGTGAGTTGATTAAAGAGTTGCCCTATTTTGCAAACAGATCCTCGTAGTGTACGCCAATGCCCAGACCCTACTGTACAGCTACTGTACCGCGGAGCACATGCTATGTGACATGTGTGGCTTGTGTGCGGTCAATGCTCTCGGGATGCAACTCAGCTAGCTAGCTGCTAATACACGTATGTCAAAATTGCTGGGCCGCATTTACATACTTTATTTATACCCTGCACGTTATCTCTGCACGTCTTTGGTTTTAGTTCTATGCTTAAAAAAACAACCTCAAGCAGGGCGCATGCGTTGCGCCAGCGTTGCACATGTGCGAGGTTGCAAAAAGTGCAAAAAACACCAGATGTTGACACTGTGCCGCAGCTGCAGGCGACTTTAGCTTTTGCCACATGCGGCAGCTAAATGTTTACTCTAGCCCACCGATCGCTGTTCATTGACCTAGGGCAGGGCATTAAGTATGCTCCAATCGTAACGGAACGGTAGCCTCCGTGGCCAAAAGCCAGCCAAAGCGGATGCATCGACTTCCATTTGGGGCCTGTCCTTTTTTGCCCGGCTACCACATCCACTTCTTCGGCTGGCCTACCAGTTTGGCACCTCGAAAATGGGTCGACCAAAGTGCTCAAAGCCCGGCGGAGCGACTCACTCAATTCTCGTTCGACGAGCGCCAAGAAAAGTGGTTTCGCATTCGAGTTGAGTTCCATTGTGATGAGCGACCTTTCTCCACTGGGAAGAAACGAGAGCTCAAGTTGTGCTGATACATGCGGCTTTGGGTAACAATAGCACAATATGAAAACATTTCTGTAATACTTTAACCTGAAAGAACAAATAGAAATGTATCATAGGCTGCTTGATTTGCTATTAATTCAAGTTTACCGAATCAGTCATTCTGCTAGTAGAGTGTATAAAAGCGAGATAAGTATAAGTATAAGTATCCAAGTGAGATATCACCCACTTCTCCGAATTAACTAAACTGTGTAAAGTTAGTAGTCAAATTGTTGGCAGTGCACTTTCATCCCAAGTAGCCCAATTAAATACATTTCTTCGATTGGCGGGAGCCAAAAGGTTGACAATTCGAAAGTGGCGCACAGTGGCAGGCAGTGAATCATAATTAGCATAATTATTTCGGGAGGACTGCGAGACTCGTACTAGCAAGCACTTGTTTATCATTTTAACCAGCCAGATACCCCATCTTTACGGACCAGATAAAGGGAAAGCAAACACGGGAGGGCTCTTATCGGCGTTGATCTTCATCCGCAGTTCCCACTGTGCGCGCGGGGAAAACAATATAGCCAAACCAATAAAACACGAAAAACAGAAAGCCGGGCTAAGACGTCAGGTGAAACGCAGTAACTCCACTCGCGGCACTTCCACTCAAAAGGTGCTACGCTGCCCACTCGAATCTGCAGTCGTAGATACGAAAACCAGATATCGTCGAGCGGCCGGCGATCTTCACTCAATGGGGGAATACTGCTATAGAGTGGAAAGCTTGTACACGTAGTTTGGCACTCGCAGTCGGTTGTTGGCGTTTTTAGTCTGCTGCCTGATCTTCGACGCGCTGCAGCTGTTTTGGAGTCGCCGCGAGTGTCATATCTGCTGTGACCGCGAAAATTTCCGGGCTAAAAACAGAGATATTGATATACATATATATTTCAATATATCCCGCATCTACATTAGCCAATTGTGAGTGATGGTGGAGACGGCGACGACTACTACCATAACCCGCACCACCACGGCCGTTCCGGCTGGTGCAGTAACGGTAACTGGACCCACTGCCTCGGCCACGCCCACCGCGACACAGGCGGCCGCGCAGGCGCATCGCAACGATGAGACCACCCGGGCCATCTTCAATCTGAAAGTCATCATCTTTCTGCTCCTGCTGCCTCTGGTCCTGCTGGCCGTCTTCCTCAAGCACCTCTTGGATTACCTATTCGCGCTGGGACTCAAGGAGAAGGATGTCAGTGGCAAGGTGGCACTGGTAAGTTGCATGCGGTTGCCCATTTGGGCTAACAAATGGCTGCAATGAACGCCTGGCAAATGAGCCATTAATACGGCTAGTCAGATACACATCGGTTTTCAAATTAATTGCACCATAATGTGCATTATACTGATATAAGAAAAATGTATATGGGGCTCTGCTCTACGTCATTACTTTGGCTAATAAATCCTAAGTAAGCGCATGTGAATTTGTTTGCCCTGTATCCGCTTCTAAGCTATCTTGTATCTGGAGACTACTTAGCCAACCAGAAACGTCACGCACTTTCCTTTTCCAGTGGCTGCCTCCGGCTTCCACGCCCACCTTTGGCACACCCACCTTTTCCGCACTCCCGCTTTCCCGCTTTTCTTTTCATTCAATTTTTTCTCTTTTTTGATGTCACTACCGTTAGGGCGCGGTCGATCGCTTAGTGTTGTGTTATTAATGTAAATATTTATGCGTTTGGTACCCAGCTCGGTTAGTTGGCCAATTGTTTAGTTGTGTCCACAGAGACGAGTCTTTGGTGCCACGGTCAGCTGATGTGACATAATTTCGCTGTGAGCGCTGCAATCACAGAGAATCTCCAGCTGGAATCGTGCTCATGGCAACCATATCGCGCTCCAATAATCACATATGCATCTTGGGGCGTCGAATTATGGAGAAGTCAATTGCCGGGGGCGCCAATGCCACTGGACAAGGTCAAGTGATGATTCCGCTGGCGATGCTCCATATCGCAAAGAACCTGATCGCATTCGGAACCCATTAGCATGCTTTTCAGGCTTTTTAACGTGGGCGTGTGCCGGCCATAAGCGTCTCACGTAGCGCATTAATGATTCACAATGGCCCGACTTTTGTTTTAGTCTCAGCTTTTTCGATCGTTCCCGCAGATATCGTTTCTCAGATACAGATACACTGTACAGATACAACTACAGATACCTTTTCGTTGCGGTTGCACAGCGGTATTTTCGGGTGACAGAGACTGGAGAATTCCCATGCCAACTTAATTATGAGATTGACTTTTGTTGATAAGTTCTATTGACATCATTGTTGCGGAATTCGAGCTATTTCAGCTGGCAAAGATCCCCTTTTCGACTCCCCTGGCCAACTGCAAACTGGTTTTGCGTGTGTCGCTATATTTATACCAAGATGAACAGAAAGAGCGCAAAAATGCAAACCTCAGGAAGTTCACTTTTGTTTTCAGTCCGGCAACGAACGCTCTTTGATGTTTGTAAACAACGGCAGAGTGTAGAACTTCGGGGGCCAAAGTATCTGCAACTGGCAAGCATGCCGGGTATCTCTCAGATGCGTAGATAAAACTCAACTACTGTGGCCGCTGTTAATTTGCATATGATATTGAAATTCTTCGGCTATTCGTTCAATAACCACAACAACTGCGCACTTGGTATTGTGTTCCCCTTTGCTATTCGCTAACGTGCCAAACTCTGAATCGAACTCATGCCGGGTTACATTTAGATTCACCCACCTAGCGCACAGCCAAAACGGCGGCTGAGGTCACCCCGTGCGCTTCAATTACGGTCAAAAGTCACTCAATTGAGCCCCAGAGGGTTGGCCCACCGAGCGTATGAGTAATGCCATTCATAAGTCGCCTCCACTGCTGCTGCTGCTGCTGGTGCTGCTGGTGCTCACATAATTGTCCGTAAATAAGGTTTTTGTTCAATGCGAAGTCACATTAGCTCGAGTTGATTGTTTGCAAATTAAGCTAATTAATTTACCTGGGTAATGTGAGTAACCTGTGATTGCAACCCAGGTGACCGGCGGAGGCAGCGGCCTGGGTCGCGAGATCTGCTTGGAGCTGGCCCGACGCGGCTGCAAGCTGGCCGTAGTGGATGTCAACTCCAGGGGCTGCTACGAAACGGTGGAGCTGCTCTCCAAGATCCCACGCTGCGTGGCCAAGGCCTATAAGGTGAGCTTGCTAGGGCTCCGGTATTTAATGGTTGCCCTAACAGAATTTGCTTTCCAGCACGACGTGTCATCGCCGCGCGAGCTGCAACTGATGGCCGCCAAGGTGGAGAAGGAACTGGGTCCCGTGGACATTCTGGTCAACAATGCTTCCCTCATGCCCATGACTTCGACGCCCACCCTGAAGAGCGATGAAATCGACACCATACTGCAGCTCAACTTGGGTTCCTACATAATGGTGAGAGGTGCTGCCCTAAACTAGAAACTCTAATATGCAACTTCTTCCTTTCGCAGACCACCAAGGAGTTCCTGCCCAAGATGATTATGCGCAAATCCGGTCACCTGGTGGCAGTAAATGCCTTGGCGGGTATATACACCTTACTTACTAAGTCCGGCCAAATTGTTACCTACATCCCCATTCAGGTCTAGTTCCTCTGCCAGGCGCGGGCATCTACACGGCCACCAAATACGGCATCGAGGGCTTCATGGAGTCGCTGCGGGCTGAGCTGCGATTGTCCGATTGTGACTACGTTCGCACCACGGTGGCCAATGCCTATCTGATGCGGACCAGCGGAGATCTTCCACTGCTCAGTGATGCCGGGTAAGATTGGGCTTGTACTGTAGCCACATCACTTGATCTCATGTGACCCTCCATTTAGCATTGCGAAGAGCTATCCCGGACTGCCCACTCCATATGTGGCCGAGAAGATTGTCAAGGGCGTGCTGCTGAACGAGCGCATGGTGTACGTGCCAAAAATATTCGCACTCAGCGTGTGGCTGCTCAGGTGAGAATTGAATTAGCTCAGGTATCCGGCGATTATTCCTAACGATTATTGTTGTCGCCTTGCTGCAGACTACTGCCCACCAAGTGGCAGGATTACATGCTGCTCCGCTTCTACCACTTCGATGTGCGCAGCTCCCACCTGTTTTACTGGAAATAGAGGAGAGGAGTAACATGCCCATGCAGACGCATTTACGCGGAGGACTCCTGTTTGTTTCCCAATTGCAGTTCTTAATTCAACTGTTGCTTACGCTAGGTGTACGTGTTTAGCTATTTATACGAATCTTTAACTTAGATTAAATCTATATCCTAACATTAGAATTGCGCCTGGTTGGCCTTTCCCGTTTTATTTCTAATGCGCCGCAGCTTCTCGGAGTAGCACATCCGCTCGGACTGCTGGACGCAGGACCTCCGTTCGTAGTGCCAAGTGTAGTTCCAGGGACATCGGTGGATCAGCTTGGAGCCACTGGAGCAGTAGTAGAAGTAGGCACACCTCCGGGGATGTGGCACGAATCCGTAGTCTCCCTCGTGGCAGCTGATGTCATGCTCTCTGGACTGCATGCGGTTGCAGGACACCAGATGGGCAGGAGTACAGGCCTTGGCCAGTCCAGCCCCCTCGTAGCACACCATGTAGGGATAACAGGGCCCGGCATTGGGTAAAAGGCGCAGGGTAATCGCCAATGGGTCCGCTTTCTGAGCTGGGGCTTTTGTGGTGTGTGTATCCATAGGATCCCTGCATCTCGTGACCAACCTGCGATCCAGGCAGCGTTCCAGCTTGTCATCGTAGTAGTGACCATCCAAGCACTCGGCCTCAAAGGATCCCGGACCGGCGCAATATATGTACTTGGAGCAATTACTAGAGCTGGCCACGTACACTCCCAATTGTGGGGCACTGGCACACTCCTCGAATTCCAGGGCACCGCAATTCCGGCTGCCCAGCAAGGTCACCCAAGTAATTGTTAGCAAGGTTATAGCTCTCATTTCACTTGCGACCGAAATACGGGGATGACTTCTGTAGACTGACTTCATCGATAATGGGCTGAAAGCATATTTGCATGTGCGCCAGCTGATAAAGAAGACAAGCTATTCCATCGCTTATTACGGCGGCTATCGCCTAGTAGACACCGCTAATGAGTGCGGCGGAGTGGCTGCCACGCCCACTCTGGCTGGTCTCGGTAATTTGCATTTCCGTAGCCTACTTCGCAGCTGTAAAGCCACCGCGCATTTAATGATACCACACCGCAGCATAATGCTCGACTGGGCGCAGTTCAATAAAAATTGAAAATGCACTCAATTCGCAATTAAGTGTCGCCACTTCCGCGCGGACAAACGGACAAACGGATGGACGACACCATTCAGCCCATTCAGAGCATTCATCGCAGCCATCCTCATTATTATTTCCATCGTCATCGTGGTCATGGCTGGTCGGAGTTAAGCGACGGCCATCGATTTAATATCCGATGAGATATTCATAACTTGCAATTAGGTTTGGTGGCTCTGCGCTTTTCCACGCGCCTGCGATTTACGTAACTGATTGCGAAGCTGATTAATGAAGAATTACCAGGGCAAATGGCTGGCATCTGTGGGCATTATCCAATTGCCCAACTGGCCAACCAACCAACCATATACCCCACTACCTCTACCATGATGTGCGGACTTCAGTGCCAATTGCACGCGTATTAAAAGTTGCATTAATTGTCAATTAAACGCAGTCGAGTGCCAGATGGCGCAGCAGCTTTGTGGCATAATTTTCGGCTCAATCCACATATCCGATTAACAGGTTATTCCGCCCGGTCTGTACTCCATGCACCAGATGCCGCGGACTAGAAGAAAGGACCCCATATGGTGCCGCCGGCTCAAGTGATTAAGTGCACGACGAGTTCTTCAAATGCAGTGCAACATGTGCACACACACACACTCCTTCGAAATGTAAATTCTAATTAAGATTGTGGAGCAAGACCCCCAGCACCTGATTCCTCCTCCACTCAGTGCGCATTGCGCCTGCGCAGCCGCGCAACCGCGCATCCGCGCATCCGAAGATCTACAGAAATAGCGCTCTAATTATTTGTGTGCTAGGGTTACAATTCCCATAAAAAACAAACAAACTGTCGGGCGTTTTATGGATCTTCTGCCGGCCTCAATGCCCCCGCGAAGTTTCTCGGTCCCCAGTCGATTCGAAAGAGAAGAACTAATCTGATGAGCACTGCAGCATCAGAGGATGTCCATATAAAATTTACACTTTATTGAAATATCCCGCACAGTTGAGAAATGTTTTTCGAGCCCGCCTACGCCCTGGCATCGGGATCTCCGCATCCATCGTGTGGACCCTGCGACGGCATTCCCGAGCTGATCAGCCTGCGAATCTCGACAAGAACCCGCTCCGTCCGACTCTCCAGGTGGTCGAGGGCGGAGTTCAGGGCGTCCAGGCTCGAGTTGACTCTGGCCATCAGCAGCTCCGAGTGGTTGGTCAGTTCCATGAGGTCATCGAAGTTGCTGACCTGGCCACTTTCCAGCGAAATCCCGTCCAGATCCAGCTGCAGCTGCAGCTGCTCATCCGTGCTCTCCATCAGGGCTTCAAGGGCAGGAAACACACTTTCACTTTTAATTTGGAATTTTTTCACCCAAAATCATGACCAAAATGGCTTTGTTTGTTATTTTGTGCCGTGCGATCCGAAGTGTAAAGCAAATTTAACTTGGTTTGTTTTGCTATCAAACATAATTAAAGTTGCTTGCCAAAAAGCGATTTAATTTAATTGAAATTGCAACTAGCTGGCTTTGGGTACTTTTGCTTTTAACGGGAAATGTGAATTATTAAGTATATTTTATTTAAACTATGGCACCTGTAAATTCCGATTTAATGGGTATATCACATGGGTGAACTCGATTTATTTTTTGCAAATGCTTTTGGTTGATGTTTCATATTAAATATTTTTTAATAATCGCAGAGCTTTACACAAATAGCAATATGTTTGCTCGTTCTGGGAGAGTAATTTTGGAAAATCGTTGCAAGTTTTTTAAGTGGATTGAATGTTTTAAACAATATTTTCGCCCAGGGCACCTGAAAGTCCACTCTTGTTTTTAGACCATTGCTTGTTTTGCCCTGTTTGTAATGGACGACCTATTACAAGGGCTACACTCGTTCATTTCATTAAACCCATTTACAAAATGGCTTTGTCCATTATTTATACATATCAATTATAAATGGTGCGCTGCGACTGCAATATTCATATTCACTTGTCAAAATGTCAACTCAAAATAGAATATTTATGAATTTTTATGTGTGCATATCGGTCCGTGATTTGTTTGTTGTACGCTCTCTTTTCGAGAACTCTTTGTTGGCATTCAGGCAGGATTGGGTTAAAGTAAAAAGCAGAAAAAACAAAACAAAAAAAACCAGCAACCAGAAAAGAGGAAAATGACAATTCAGCCTATAAATACGCGGCGGCAACCGAAGTTGAAATCAATTTTTTGGCCCCATACTGCGGTGGTCGCGTTCCCCGTTCGGTACTAAAAATTGGAGTGGGTTGCACCGAGTGCGGTGCCACTATTTAGTTAGCCGCAGAACAAGGTGCCTCAATTTATTTTTAATTGAATGCAAATTGAGCCAATCGGTGGCTGTGGTTCTTGCCCAACGATGCGGTCTTTTTCGGCTATTAGGAGGTTCGAGATGCTGTGCAGCCAAACTTGCCACTTTCTGTTGCTGCTGCATCTGCTGGCTTACGCATTTTCACTTAATGAATTTTCATTCACAGTGACTGCAGCAAGGATGTGTCGAACTTCCTGCCACACTCACTGGCCATTAACCGACCTGCTCCTGGCCAAGCGGCCAAAAAGTATGCCTCTGTTGACGTTTTCTTTGTGGTTGGCTAAAATCTGTTATTATTGCCATTAAGCAGGCTTTTGTTGTCATCGCTCCGGCCTTCCCTCGTACATATGTGCATATATGCATTTTCCCTGTCGATTTTCCTGGATTTTCCTGGTCTTTCCCGGGCTTACTTGGATCTGTTCTTGAGGTTGTTATCGGTTGGTTATTGAATTTTGCGCACACACTTTACAAGCCGTAAGTCTAAACGGCTCAACTTGTTGCCGCCGCCCAGTTTGCATACGTTTTTGTTGCTGGTCATCGTCATTAGTTGAAAAGCGCTTAGTTTGCCTCGTTTGTTTGCCGAAAGTCTCATTGTTGCCACGTCTTTTGCTCCGGCTTCTGTTTCTGCTACTGTTTCTGCTTCTGCTTCTGTTGCTGCTGTTGCATTACGCAGCCTGTTGTTGTCATCAGGTTGCACTTGCGTTTAACACTGCTTTGCCTAAATAAAGGCATATAATTTATGTGTGTGGTGGTGGTCCTGTGCGTTGTGCATACGCCACGTTGCCGTCCTGTGTGCTTATATCCGAGCGGAGAATACTAAGTGAGCTGCAGCTCCATTGTGGTCCAAAAACTTTGTCACGGCTGCTGCCACTGGCTGTGGCCATCCTGGCCGAAGGACACTGCTTTGGAGGCGCTTGCTCAGGCAGGACATGTGTGCCCCGCATCGCTGCCCGCTATTGTTTTCCAACTTTTCACTTTGGTTATGAGATGTCCGAGCGCCGCAGTCAGTTGCACGCTCGCCTCCATCAGCGTCGTCTCCATTCCGCTGACCACAGTGCACCACGTGGACTTTTTGGCCAAGCTGGTCGTGTTCGTGCCCCGAGTGGCACACACCGCCAGAAAATATTGCGGAGCACAGTGATTGATTTTGACTGCAATACGCTAATTCCCTACACTTCAAAACTTCTTAAAATTAGAAGGAATGCAGCGGAGGCTGACTTACATTTCGAATTGCTTAAGCACAAACTTGACACACATGCAATTCATCATAATAATCCCCCTTTTTGCGCAGTGGAAGGACGTGTGTGCTGCTATGCTTATATCCTGCGGCTTAAGCATTTGTTGTTTTACAACGTTTCAGTCTGTTTGCCAAGTAAATAAAAGCTGTTAACTAGTTTTCACACACCAGAGCCGAAAAGGTGGATGGGGGCTTGGGATCGCATCGGATTGGGATGGGTTTGGCTGGGATTACATGGTTGGGTTTTCCGAGACGGGCGGCAGCACGTGCAGGACAGTTTTTTGCTCGGCTCGTCCTGTTTCAGTTTAGTTCCTGTTCCGGTGCCTCGGCGCCATTCTGAGTGTTTTTGTGCGTAACACTCGTGTATGAGCAATTATTTAATGCCGTCCGCCTGTCATTGTTGTCTTTGGGCCCAGAGTGTTGCCTTTGTCTTGGCCCGAACAGCAGCGGCACTGGTGGCAGTGGCAGTGGGCCAAGTCAGCTGCAGCCGAGTTGTCTTGCCTTGTCTGCCCCTTTTGTGTCGCTCATTTATTTGTGTTTATCCTTTCGCTTTTAATTGCGGCTCCGTCCTGCCCCGGCACCCCCACCCCCGCCCTTTGTGTAATTACAAGTGTTTGTTGTGTAAATAATAGCGTTAGCTGCCTGGCCGAGGACCATCGTTGACGCATCGTTTGCATGCTCAGTTAATGCCGTGCATCAGGACATCCCACATCCCACCCCGTCCTCCATTGTCCCTATTCCATCGTCTGTGTGCTTATCTGTGTGTGTGTGTGTGCGTGCGTCTGTCTGTGGCACGGAAAATTAATTACAAGAATTAAGCAGCGCAACGAGCGATCTGCCGGCATTGACACAGGTGTTGGCCGCCCGCCGTAACGTATTTTCCTTGGATAATTCCCACACAGCTCGACAGCCATGTGCTGCACCTTGAACTCGAACTTAGACTGCTGCAAATGCTGCTGCACGGAGGAAAATTCCCAAAACTAGAACTAAGTCAAATATGGGAAGATCAGCATCAAACAGCCTATGCTCCTTTAAAAGTACGACAACTACCATATAGTTTGCTTACATTTCAAACAATGTAGATACTTGTATCTATTTTCCGTGTGAAACACGCTGAAGAGTTCTGGAGGCGGGGCATTAATTCATTCACCTAGGGACACTTACATGTGGTGCCCATTAGCCCAGTGCCACGCCCCCGTGAAAGGCAAATGCCAGCGAGCCATGCGAGGCCAGAAATTTCCATTTCGTTGCTTGAACCGTGCATAAATATGTCAATAGGGATTATCCCATCCCGGGCGGCAATAAAATCTTCGGGAGCTATAAAAAAGGCAGAAAATAAAATGGGGAAAGGCAAACCTCAGCTAAACAAACAGCAGCGGCAACGGCGGCGGGAGCTGCAACTTGATTATCCTGGCAACCTGCCGCGCACTTTGCCCCGCTGAATTATGACATTCGACTGTCAGTGTGGGTTCAAGTGGATTTCGGTTAGACGGCATCCAAGTCGCCTGGCTGCTCCTGGCAGGCGTGAGAATGCGTTATCCTGGCACCTAAACAAACACATTCGTGGCCGCATCCTGATGCAGTAGCTGCTCGCATCCTGGCCGAGTGTCGTGTTGCAGAATGTTTTCGATCCTTCGGATTCTTGCGCACTACACGACCGGCTAATTTATTTACTTTACGGCCCGCGGCACTAAACTAAAACACATGTTCCAAGGATCATAATCGAAATAGCCTGTTATCCGTGTCTCATTATGTCCTGCACTTGCTGCTGTTTCTGCTGTCGCAGTAGCACTTCAGATTGGTGTTGACAGCCGCGCTGAGCAATTGCCTCGCCTGTGTCCCCTTCCATCCATTTTAGTAGTTTTTGGTTCCTTACCAGGGATTCCTGAGCTCTGAGTGCCCGACATGCTAATGTGAAATATTACAAAACTAATGGAAAAAACGGAGAGCCATGCCATCGAGATTAACGCGTTGGAGCACTCAAACTCCTCTCGACACTTTTCCTTTTCGTCCGCCAGCTGCGGCTCGGAAATCTCAATCCGTTTCCATGCTGCCATGCTGCCATGCTGCCATCCTGCCAGCGGTTCATCCTTTGCCGTGGGAAACTTCGGTGCACAGGTTTAACCACCACTAATCCTTTACCTTAAGCACTTTGCTACATTTTTGTGCGGCAGTGCAGTCAATTAGGATGATTTCCCTCGACTTAGCTATTTTTCAAGGCCTTGGATTTCACATCTGATTAACAAAATATGTCGTTTATATAAGATTTTATATGAAGTACAAAAATGATAGAAATTCTTAAGCAATGCCATATATCATTAAAAAAGTTATAGCACAATTGGTCATTTCATAGTATTTTTTGTATATCATTTATTATAATTTCAGTACAATGACGAGCCTGGCTAGTTTTTTGGGCCACGGAGTGGGGCAGCACTACCCAGTCCTCCACTCCTCAACTCCTCCACTGCCGCCAGTGTTCTTTGAGTACCCTTTGAGCTGCAGCGTTGAGTGGCACGGAGTTTTGACAATTAGGGGGGTCGCAGCGGGACACTCGAGTATCGGTATCTTTATAGCTTGCCACCGCAGATAGGGATGGCAAATGGAACGGATGGGGCGGCCAGTGCCATGTGCTCCTCCTGCTCCAGCTCCTGCTCCTGCTCCAGCTCCTGCTCCGCCAAATACGCAGACGCCTCGCCCATAAATCATCGGAGTCCAATAGCCGCAAAAAGTCGCATGCAAAGCGCGGCGGCACCACGTGCACAAAGTGTGACCCGATTTTGGCAACATCCGACGGCGAGTGCTGCGCTTAAATAAACACAAAATTGCATCACGTGCAGCGGAGTACGAAATGCAAAAAAATGCAAGTCTGAGAGCCAAGAAGTGGGATTCGTAATTGCGCCAAAATGCACGGAAATGAAGCCAAGGAGGAATTCCAGGCCGCATATGTGTGGCCAAGAGGACGGGCGGCGGTTTTTGGGTCGCTTTCATTTCCAGTGAACCAAAGCTATTTCGCCAGCGATCGACACATGCCCTCGAGTGCGCCAAGTGCAATAAATTGATACAAAACCCAAAGTGTCGCAAGTGCGGGTTCACGGGGGGTGGGGGGCGGTGGGTTGCGGTTGGTGAAGGTTGCGCGAGGGGGGTTAACCTGCCCGATTGCTGCAGCACCTTGGCCCGGCTAAAACTCTATTAAAATGCCATTGCCAGAGCGGGAGAAAAGGGGGTTGGGGTGGGTGAAAGTGTACTACGCTGCGCGATGGCGACTCTTGGATACCCTTTTTTGTTAAGAAACTAACTGTAGAACTCTTCAAAATGTTCAAACCATTATGACCTTTCTAAAACCTATAAAGAAAGGTGTATCTAATAGCTATCATATCCTATCCCATCCTATCCTATCCTATCCTACCCTATACCTATCTAATATCTATCCATATATGGTCAACATTTTGTAATATGCTGATGTATCTATGTCAGTTGGCCTCAATTTGATGTATATCTTTATTACTTAATCGCCCAGTCACGGCGGTATATATAATAAATCTCAAATAAATAGCCAGCTCTATCGCGCAGCTGAAGCACCCTGTAAAAAAAACTGAATATGAAATATACGTTTTTCACGAATCTCGTTTTTGTCGCTCGCTCTTTGTTATTTTTAACTAAAACCACAGCCGGCACTCGCCCCAATCCACTCCACTTTCCAACCCGGCCCCCCGGCCCCTCGGCCCCCAAAATATAAAATTATCCTTTGGCTGTCTATATTGTTTGTACCCCAAACTCCCCCCGCGCGTTTCTATATGTTCTGCTGCTCCGATTTGTTGCCGCCGCCCGTGTTCGTTTATGGATATCCACTTTATTGTCAGAAAATCATTTTTTCGCTGGCATCTCGCTGCTTTTTCCATTCTCATTGAGCTGCAGCACTGCAGCAGGGTATGTGCTTGGATATGTGGCGCTGCTCCACTCCACTGGCAGTTGTAGCCACAAAAAATTGCTTTTATTTATTACTAATGGGCTGGTTCGGTGCGCTCACATCGAGCATTACTTACCGCGACTGTCTCATCTGTGCAGGAGGTGACTTTTGTGTTTATTTGCTGACAATGCCCCGGCTGCTCCAGAGCGCCAAAAGATTTTCAGGGAGCTGGGGAGCTGGGGAGCCGAGGGTTCATAGGTGAGCTCGAATATATGGTAAATGGGCGCCTGCCACACGCTCGCATTCATTTGGGCACTGCGCTAAAAGTCGCGGCTAATTGCCGAACCCCGCGAACCGGGTCATGTGGACACACTCGAATTGCAATCTCGACGGTGAGCCAGTTTTGCCGATCGATTCAATGCGTTTTCGCCATTCTCTCGGCGCGGTTGTGGCTCAAAGCAGGCGGAAAAATGTCGGAAGCAGTGCGAAACACTCTGGTAAAACTGCAGGCCTTCATCGGACTGATCGGCTTCGCGGCCTTAACGCCACTACTCATTTTGGTAGCAGTTCTCAGTCGACTGATCGCCAAACTCTGCTGCTGCTCGGCGCCGAAGAGCATCGAGGGAGAAGTGGCCGTGGTGAGTTTGGGCCAAAAACGATCGAGAAAAACAAAAACCCATAATAACAAACTTTAGTAATATATAAACTTCGCTGTCGAAAGCGTGTTACATGACAGTTGAGAAGTCAGTGAATCGCATAAATTTCGGACAATGTATAGATATTTTGTAATAACAGTGTTTTGAGCTATAATCAGATTTTGTGCTATAATCCGATTTTGTGCTTATAATCAAAGTTTGTGCTTATAATCTGATTTTTTGCTTATATTCTGATTTTTTGCTTATATTCAGATTTCTTGCTTATGATCAGATAATCAGATACAAAATGCAAATGCCACTTTAACTTGGCCCCCGGGGTTTAGAGAAACTTAATTCATTTTTATAGACAACCTAAGAGGGTCAATGGTCTCAGACATTAATCTGCTCCTAAGTACACAATTGCATTATTTAATTCTGACCAAAGGTCTGACTCCATTATTTTGCTTTTTTGGCAGCTTGTGCTTACATTTAAAGGTCCATTTTTTCACCCTTTGACTTGAGTCTAGATTATAATTCTAGATGTTAGTTATATTGCAAATGGCTGGGGCTATTGTGCAACAAGGTCAGGAACTGGAATAAACGATAGCATTTGATTCGAAAGAAGATAGATTAATTGAATAAATTATTGAGGTAAAAATATCTACTATATCTACAACTATACCTACAATGATCAACAAAATGTTCCCCCTTAATATACTGAAGAAAGCTTTTCAAATTAATTTAATTTGTTATACTCAGGAAATGTTGTAATTTTAATTAGACAGATATATTTGATATCTTTCATGACTTTTAATTTCGACTAAATTTAAATGAATTTACAATTTACATCACTCATTGAAAAAATAATTTCAGTGATGTATCACCGTTTCATTAAGTTGTCATGCTTGTCATAACTTAGAAATGGAGTGATAAACTCGATTGCGTGCCGTTAAGCCAATGACTTTCAACTTGTATAATCAGTCCGCTCATCTCGTCTAGGTCACTGGAGCTGGTCATGGACTGGGCCGTGCCATAGCCTTGGAACTGGCCAGGAAAGGCTGTCACATCGCCGTGGTGGACATCAATGTCTCCGGAGCGGAGAACACTGTAAAGCAAATCCAAGATATCTATAGGGTACGCGCAAAGGCATACAAGGTACAGTATTCAATTTGTACTATAAGTCTTGCCAGACGGGTTTTTATGCTGGATAATTGCCAACAATTATCTGATTAGAAACGAGTAACTGCAAGTTAATTACTATTCCAATTTCAAGGCCAATGTCACCAGTCACGGCGAACTAGTGGAGCTGAACACCAAAGTGGTTGAGGATCTGGGCCCAGTTACTGTCCTGGTCAATAATGCAGGTGTCATGCTGCATCGCAACATGATAGATCCGGACCCAGTCGATGTGCAGCTAATGATCGATGTCAACCTCACGTCGCACTTCTGGGTGAGTTTTCAACAAAACAACAAGCTAGTTTCCCTAATTAGGTAATAAGATATAAGTATATCAACTGAATTTCATTTCTTTCCCCTAGACAAAATTGGTTTTCCTACCCACCATGAAGGCTTTGCGCAGAGGTTTCATAGTCACCATCAGTTCATTGGCAGGTGCGCAACTACCATTAGATATCTATATTCTAGGTGGACACATCCGAGTCTGAACTCGTTCCAGGTGTCTTCCCATTGCCCTACAGCACGAGTTACACTACCACCAAGGCTGGCACCTTGGCTCACATGAGGGCCCTGCGCATGGAGATGGCCCTGGAGAACCAGAAGGACATCCATGTGACCACCGTGCTGCCCACCTTTCTGCGCACCAACAGCGATGTTACGCAGCTGACGGATACCATGGGCGTCGCCGAACTGTATCCTCTGGTCAGCGGAGAGGAGGCGGCCCACCGAATAGTGGCCGGAATGCTGAGGGGTGAAGCCGAGATCACCTTGCCGGGACTGGCGTCCCTCCTCTATCGACTGATTCAAATCTTTCCGGCTGACTGGCAGGATCGATTGATTCTGCTGCTCAGCAGCAGCAGATTTAAGAAGCTCCGAGATGAGCGCTCCTGAGAAGGAATCGGCGGGTGGAGGTTTCGGCGGGTGAATAAATGTATAGTCCGGTTACGGAAAAATAAGGAATCCATGTTCTCTACTGCCCGGGAGCTTACAGGTTCCATTAAAATCCGATTAAAGACACTTTCTGCGGCCGACTGGTCACGGACAACTGGCCACAGGCTCCACCGACTCCACGGGCTCCAGTCATGTGTATTTCATTTAATTTCATCCAGCAGCCAGCAGCCAACAGCCAGCATTGCTTTAATTTTTCCAGCTGCGTCTGGATGGTCCGCCTGCATTTGTCAGTTGGCATGGGCGGCGGAAAAGTGGGAGGTGGCATCAACTTTTCAGCACACCCACTTTCCGCCCCTGCGCTGGATCTCATTATGCAACTTTTATGGGGTCATTGAGGCTGTGTGATTTATATATTTTGCAAAATTAAAGAAACAAAAAAAGAAAAACACCTCGTGAAAGGTGGAGGCAGAAAAAAACCGGGGGCTTTAGGCGCTTTCCAGCAAAATATTCAGGGTTTTTAGAGCAATGCGGTGAAAGCAGTGCATATGCAAGCGTTTTTTGCCACTTCAAACGAAATTGTTGTCTAATAGGGTCGAGTGAGATCCATTAGGAGGGAGTGGCTTGACAGATTGTATTTTGGTTAAAGTGATTCCTTGCACAGAAAAACGAGAAACGGGCTAAGAAAACGTAGTCTTTTTGTTCGCCACACAGTTCTTCTTTGTTCCTTTATCTTTATGCTGGTGAAATTAATGCAACACATTAAGAGAAATATTGCAACAGTGGTGGCGCGGCGGCAGACGAGGAATTTTCCATTTTTCTTATTTTCCTCAGCGCGAGCTTTTCGCACAGACACACAGCAGCATAAATATACAGTATATACGTATGCACGAGTATGTACCCCATGAATTTCTTGCATATTTCCACGTTTTCCCTCATCTTTGGCTTCGTCCTGGTGCTTTTATTTTATTTATGCTATCACTGCAACCTGATATGCTTTAGCCGCACACACGCACTGCAGGATACTGCATTTATGTGGAATTCCTTTTTCCTGCTGCATCTGGCTTTTCTTTCTGGGCCCAGGACATATGCATGGCAACTTTAGTGAAATTAAGAAAAATATAAAAAGACATTCCGGCTGCAGCAGCAGCAGCGGCAGCATGAGTAAAAGTAGAAGTTGAAAGAAACGCTTTAGGAAAATGAAAAAATAATGCAGCCAAATGCAAAAATAACATCGGAAAATGAGTAAAAGTCCCTGAGACCTGCCACTTGGCTTTTCCGGCAAGTAACAAGTAACTAGAGAAAATATTATGTCAGCAAATCAAATCGATTGTGTGGGAAAGCATTAGTGGAGCACTCAGCAAAGGGCACCCAATCCGCCCCAGCCTTCCCGTAATTCCCAATTAAAAAGCCGTTAATGATGCGTGGATCCAAAAGACCGAGACCATTGCAACATTACAAGTTGCAACCCCAAGGGGCACAGACGTGTCGCATGTAACGCCTCAATGGCATTCTGATTGAAAACTCCAATGTGGCACTGGCACTCGGAGCCGCCCCCGATATTCCAATTCGGATTCGAATTGGGATTGGGATTGGGATTCTGGTTTATTGTTTGTCTTCGCCAGTGACGAGCACTTTTTAATTTCGATGGCTTGTCGGCGGACAAACGAGGCATTTCCGCGTGTGATTATCGGGATCCATGGGGATACATTTCCGTACTGATGGATATGGGAACTCGGCTGCCGTCTTGCGCTTAATTATGAGCTGCGAGTGAAGTGCGTGGGAAATCGGCAGGAGTTCCCGGAGGAGCATTGGTTATTATGTGGCACCTGTGCCCCTCATTTCCATTTCCATTCATTTCCATTCCGATTTACATGCACCCGTAATCCAGTGGACATTTCTGACTTGGGTAATCGAGCAGTCATGTTGGTGGGGCTTCCATCAGCTGCAAATTCGCGAAATGAATTTAATGAAGAGTTGTATGCCTGTGTCAGGTGGCTAACAAAATTTCATTTGCCGTTGCATGCACATTCGCATTTGCATTTCCATTTCACACATCCGATCCGTATTTCCCATTTTCGGTAACCTTGCGCCGCAAAATGACGACTTTTGACTGTCGGGCGTCCAAAACTAATTAAAAAGCAGACCAGGCCACGGTCCACGGCCATTGCCACGACTAATGTGAATGTAACTAATTTTGATGGTCCATTGATTTCGGGTGCACGGAGAAAAAAGCCATTGGAATGTCAAATAAATTACACAAGTTATGTCCATGAAGAAGTTACTAGTTCAAAGTATTTGAAAGATAACATATTTCAAAGCTACCACATGCATCCACTATTTTGTGTACTTCCCTGCAATTTTTCTCAGTGCTGCAAAGGACGAACTAGACTCCTTGTTTAGGAGAATTTCACAGTCCTGCTCCTGCCGCGAAATGCAATAGGACACGCTGCGCTTGGGGTGCATAAATCACATGTTTAACTAATTAAACGATACAGTAAATAACGGTCTATGGCCGGTCAGGGTTTAATGAGTAGACAAAATGCCACCGTAAAGGCGAACTTGAAACGCCCACGAGAACAGCGATCATAAAAACGCCCCATTCCCGCTCAGATGCCATATTCCTATCCCCCTCCACGCCCAATGCGAAGTAATCATAAAAATTGCATATTAAAATTCATTCGGGGGGCGTGCACTTCTTCGGTTTGCTGCAACTATACTCGTACTTCTTGGATTTTATTTTTTATTATGCGACGCCTTTAAAATGTTTATAAATACAGTCAATTTGCTGTCAACTTTTGAACTTGCCACATGTGTTCGGCTTCGGTTTTCGAGCTGTAAAATGTCAAGGGGTCAACGGCAACGGCTCAGCTCATTATAATGCAAACGACTAACTCGAATGTAGAGTGAGTGACACTCACTCCATCCATCGAGGCACCACAAATCAGTTTCAAATCGAATTATGCTAAAACACACACATATCGCTGCGATACCGACTACTCCGGCATGCATGTCAACGCAATCATTTGACATTTTGACAGGACATCGCGGCGAATGAGCCGGGGGATTCTAGATTCTGGATTCTGGATTCTGGATTTTGGGTTTTGGGATCAGGGAGCCCGGGTGCTTGGGTGCCTGGGTGCCTGGGTGTGGCAGGATAGTTCAAGTTGAACGTCGCGCCTGCGCAGCTCAAGTTACAAATTAAACAGCCCCGATTTTCCATTTTTCTTGGCTAAACAAAATCAAATTACCGCCTGACAAATTTACTTGTTGAATAAGTTGTGGACTGAACACCTAAAACACAAGAATATTGCTGTTTTTGCCGCTTTTCTTTGGGGAGTGTAACGTTCTTTTGACTTCTTGCCAAGCGGATATTACAATTGCTATAATGATATACTCGTTACTCGTAGAGTAAAAGGGTATACTAGATTCCTTGAAAAGTATGTGACAGGCAGAAGAAAGCGTTTCCGACCATATAAAGTGTATATATACTTGATCAGAATTAATATCCGAGTCTTCTGGCGCAATTCTCTAAAAATCTGCATTTAAATTTAGAAATTTTTTTTTTTTTTAATTTTTCTTATGTATGATGAAGAAATTCAAAAAGAATTAGGAAATGTCCCTAGGCTGAAGTTCTAAACTCCACAACTCAACTTATCTTAATCGGAATTTGAAGTGGCATACCTCTAAATATTTCTGGAGCAATTTTCTAAAATTCTGCATTTAAATTTTCTAAATTTTTGTTGTTATTTTTTTGGATTTATTATATTGCAGAAATTCAAAAACATTAAAAAATGACCCAAGGCTGAAGTTCTAAAGTCCATAGCTCAACTTATCTTAATCGGAATTCGATGTGGCATACCTCTAAATGTTTCTTGCATTTAAATTTGGAAATTTATTTTTTATAAATTTTTATGTAATTTCTTTGGTCAAATTGCCAGCCTTAACATCAGGAATGTATTTAAATATGTATGTTATGTGATTTTGCAGTATTATTTCATTTATTTTATAATAAAAGCACTCCAATTTACATTATATCACATAAGAATGATATTATTTTATATGCATTTCCAGCTTACATACAATTTGCCTATGTAAAATTGCATAGTTCTCTATTTTCCGGTAGTTCTCTATTCTCTTTCGCTCTGAGCAGAAAGAGAGCAAAGTTCCGTTGGATCCTCGCTTATTCCATTTTCTTCCTCTCCTCTAAGTACGTCGTTACCTGCCAGTTCTTAGCTGCACATTTCTCAGACGGTTGCTTTTTCGCATCACGTGTTTTTATAAGTTTAATTAAACTAAAAGCGTTCGGAATTAGTTAAAACTTGTGTTAATACTAAGTAATCTTTATCTCTGTTTATCTCTTTATCTTTCTGTTTCGATTTTGAGTAATTAAAGCACCTGCAAGAAGTGAAAAACCGCGTGCTTCGGTGCACACGTGTGTGTGTGTGAGCTTCAAAAAGTGGCAGCTGCCAATTTTATGTTAAATAGACATCGAAAAGGTGTTATTCTACTTAAAATGATTGCATTGTCGTTTAGATAGTATGTTAGCAATAACGTGCGAACGCAAGTTGCAATATAATATTCGAATTTACGGTTTTAATTTAGGCATTCAAGCGGGTGACGCGCCTTTTCATGTGTGTGTGTGTGTCTCGATGCGACAGTTCGCTGTGTTTTAAATCCGCCGTGCTTCTACTTCGCCGTACATAAATGCAAGTGTGTTGGCAATGACATTCGGCGCAAATAGTGTTTAATGATTTTTTTTATGTTCCATTTTTTTTGGGTGGTATATAATATATTTATATATTTTGGTGGTGCATAAATTTAGAGAAATTTTAAAATCTTGGTGTGTTAAAATAAAGATAATTCCTCATAATTAGAGGAAAATTTCCCATTGTAAAGTGTTTATTTTTGTTTTTTATTTTAAAGTGTTCAAAAAGTGTAATGGAAAAATGTATATTGTAAAGTGTTTATATATGTTTTTTTTTAGTAAGTGTTAACTTGTGGAGCAATTCTCAAAAAAACTGCATTCAAATTTAGAATTTTATTTTTTTTTAATTTTCTTGTCATT